AACAAAAAGACCGTATAGGTCAAGCAAAGGGACCACTCGAGGCAACATCAGAGATCTCTGTGCTCATATGACAGAGGGTCTTGGTATTGTTTCTCCTAAGCAAGGGCCACATCAAACAAAGGGTCATGGTATTGTTTCCTCCAGGCGAGGGTTTCACTAAGGATGTCACAATTACTTTTCCAAAGAGGCAATCATTCATTCTTAACAAAATAACATTTCAAAATAATATTCTTGCAGCAATTCAAAAATACATTTCAATATATCTTTACATAGATACTACTCACAGTGGGCTAGCACAGGTGTTGGACCTCGGATGACCACCTACACAAACACATAACAAAGATACATATTGAAACGCACATTCATAACAAATGTTGTATCTTAATTTAATTCTCTTACGTGTGTTTCTAACTTATTTCATTACCAAGAATGTCTAAATGATGCTTAAGTATGCCTAAAAGGGCATAAGATGCAAATATGCACATGTAAGTATTTGCCAAAATTTGCTGAAAATAGGGTATTCGCTCGAGCGCACCTTTGGTCGCTCGAGCGATGTGGCCTGACTGCAAAAATACTGGATGGTGTCAAAGTAGGCTTGATTTTTCACTTTGGTCGCTCGAGCCAAGTGAAAATGTCTGCAAAAATTCTAAGAGCATTCAAAGTCCACTTGAGCCACGCATTCGTCGCTCGAGCAAACTAGGCAAATTCTGGATTTTCTAGATTGCTCTTTGCAATTCAAAAGCATGTCTTTCGTATTCAAAGCTTGCATGGCTTGGTAGAAACTCTTTATAATGCATGAATTCATGGGAATAATGAAACCATACTCTCAAATCTCTTTCAATTTCCCAAAACAAGATTCAAAACTCAATGTTTTTGCCATACATGTGTTGAATTCAACTCTTTTCTTTTCAAAACATGATCATGTGAGATATTGAGAGTGAATTCATGAAGAACTTCAAGAATAGCAAGTAGAACTTCATGCATGTAATATTTTTGTTGAAAATCAAATTCAAAAATGATGGAATATGCATGCTTGTGCACAATTAACTCAATTCTTCCATAAATAAGTTGATTCCTTCATTTTCTTGTCAATTACATGGAAATGTTCCTATAAATTTTATGAATTCAACTTCTACTTGAACAATTTGCAAGAATTGTGGTTAAATTCCATACCTAGAGCTTGAATTTGAGAGTTGGTTAGCTTAATCCTTCAATTTCCCTTTAAATCCTCACAATTCTTCAACCTCTCTTTCTATGAGTTGTTTCTCTCTTGTTTCTCTCTCTAAATCTCAACCAAGTTGATAAGAAAATGAACTCATTAAGCTTATATGATTTATATATAGGCTTGATTAGGTAAAGTTAATCAAATGAGATTAGGGCTAATTAATTAACCTTAATTCTAATTAATCCTAATCAAATCTAATTGATTTAATCTAATTATTTTGATCCGAATCAAATTTTAATCAAACTTGTCATATGATCCTAAATATTTCAATTAATCTATTGAACCAGTCAATTTTCGTTTCTGAATCCGTTCGGGTTTTCAATTTCGAATTTTAAGTCAGTATTCTAATAGATAATCCATAAGGAAACAGATAAGCACAAATTAAACATATAAACATGCAATAGTACTCACTAAAATAATATATAAAAATAATACGTATGTCGGGATCGTCACACTATATGTATCACACGCATGCAAAACATGTGACACTATTAGTAAATTTAATCAAACCTTGTCAACTCATTAATAAATGAGGATGCCATTAATTTTTTCTAGGTTGTATCGATACCAAAATCACAGTGTAACCATTTTTTCTTTCGATAGTGCTTTTGGTATCATGTGAGGTAAAAAATAATAGTTGAAATCATGATTACCATATTCTTTAAGGAAGCAAACCCCAATTATTCTATATTGCCTAAAAATACTCTCATTCTTTTTTTGGCCTTTATTCTTTTGGCATTGTAAAATAAATTAGATGAAATGTTTTAATCTTATAATGTTTGCTTATCAAAGTTTTTATCTATTACAAAAAGGCGCCTGTCCACTTGTCATTCCATATATATAACACGTGCCTTACTGTGCTTCACATGTGCATAACATGTGACACTAGTAGTAAATTTAATAGAACCTTACCAACTCATAATAAATGAGGATGCATTAATATTTTCTAGATTGTCAACCTTCTTCCCCAAACAAACAAACACAGTCTTACTATTAAATGAATCATTGTTGACTTGACATACATATTTTTTAAATTCCATGAGGGGTGTTTTGTTGCAGAAGTCGAAGTGGCTCCAAATAAAGATGATAAGATGCAAGAATGAGGTTCACAATTCAATAACTTGATGCAGTCTGGTCCTTTATATAGCCAACCAATTCATCACATCTTTAATAGGGGATTGACTATCAATGAAAACCATGATAATCACAATTTGGGAGAGCTTGGTTCAAAGAATGCTAGCATGCCCTTGCAAGCAACAAGGTTAGTGAATTTCCCCATTTGTTTTTGTTACTCCTTCATATGATGTTTGAATGGAAATTAAGAAGATATGCACACAAAAATAAATAAATAAATAAAAAGGATGCTTTTGAAGCTGTCACATCATTTTTTTATTATGAAAATTCTAAAAGAATGATTTCCTTTTGAAATATTTTTTCTTAGTTCTTTTCATCCTTGTAAGAACAACAGATACATGAACAAAACACTAGTCACACATTTTAGCATATTTTAGTCTCTTCTTACCAAGGTTTTATTAGTGGCGTTGAAAAACAAATTAGCATCAATTGTAGTGTAACAATATTGAGAATATTGAGCAATACGTATCGAGAATCAGGTAATACTAATGTAACATTTTAAGAGCATCGGTTATAAAAATAAAAAATAAAAATAAAAATAAAAGTTTTATAGCAGCCAAACCAACCATGTCGGTTGTAAATTAGGTTATGAATGGGCTATGAACTAATATATATTGGGCATGCAATTTTTATTTTTATTAGTATACCAAGGTGTATTAGTATCAAAAGGCTGAAAAACCAATACGTATTGCTTGATATTTTAAATTATGCTTCTTACACCAAAATGATATATGTGGTAAGAAATTACTTTTAGGCAACTATACATATACAAGAAGAATAAGTGTCATTTCTTGTTGTTTGAAATCCAACTTGGATCGAGCATCTTTGCAAGAAAGAGAAGCAAGAGAAAATGAATGGAAAGAAAGTGAAGGAGCCATTATCATACCCAAAACTATCAACTATGAGATGGGGACAAACATCCAATCCTTCCAACATCTTCAAAGATTTTCTCTCTAGTTACGTTACTCAGGTAAAATGTCTCTCTCTCTCTCAAATTTTCAAAAATCAGTACTTCTAAAAGTCTGACCACATGTGAGAAACATACTAAAAATATAAATAATATAAGGATGCAGCTTGCCTCCCGCCCAAGATCGGATTGAGCGGTCTTATTGCTCGTGGAGGCCCACCACGGGTCCCGTTTTGATAATCTGAACCATTCAATGTGCAGAACTCGTCGAGTACTATATGCTTATAAAAAAATCACGTTGATCGGATATCGATAGCAATGTGATCAAATCAGTTTTGTATAAAAAAATGGACGGTGAATAAGTTAAAGGTTGACAAAAAATTGATTCAATGAGATAGCTTTCGGATATCCGATCAACGTGATTTCTTATAGACATATAGTACTCGACGAGTTCTACACATTGAACGGTTCAGATTATCAAAATGGGACCCATGATAGACCATCATGGGCCGAATAGCACCGTCCAATCTAATCTCGGACTAAAAGCAGCTCCCATAATATAATCACTCATGATCCTAAAAGAAAAATCTAGTAGGTCCCATCCATATCCAAAAATAGGAGTGCACACGGCCACTATCCTTCTATTAAAAAAAAAAAAAAAAAAAAAGACAAAGAAGAAGGTCATGACCCTTATTATTTAGGTGAACACATAATCACGTGTTAGATTAGATCTATTAGATAACTTCTCGGATCAGTTCAAGGATATTTTGAGTTCATGTCTTATTAGCTCTATTATCACATATCATTAGTGCATGTTTTTCTTTTAGAATATTTGGCTGTCCTTCACGTGCAAATGTGTTTGGCTTGCTCATGAAAGACAGTGTGACCACGTACATAAGGAACATGTTGAATATATAAATAATAAAATTACTTGTCGCTCTAATAACTTATTATTTTAAATGAGATGGTGATTAATAATTCAAAACTAAGAAATTTTCATGTTGCTATTTTCAGGAGAGTGATTTGCAAGAAAAGGCTTTACTAGAGACTGGTAGTGCAATTTCTATGCCATCCCAGTCCAAGTATTTTGCGCCATCTGGGACAGATGCAAGTGATCTCTCTCTTGAGCTCACTCTTGGTTAAAACCTTATATTTATGCACATTACAAGCACAGTTTAGAAATTGGCAGCATGGACCAAGGTTTTTAATTATCATTTCATGGTGAATATTCTTTTTATATATATATATATATATAACAATTTATTATGTTAATCTATGTCTATGTTGCAGCGAGTGTTCGTATTTTAAAAAATAAAAATTTATTATGTCGTGTTGTATCGTGTATTCGTAATTGTCTATACTAATTAGATATTAATTGATTAGAAGGTAATGATATACAACAAAATATATATATATATATATCCACGAAGCATAATGCTTGCCACACTACAGGAAATATAAGATTTAACGGCGTTTATTTAACGGTGCTTTTTTAAACGTCACTGTTTTTAACATTTAACGACGTTTTATAAATGTCACATTTTATTTTGAATAAAACGGTACCGTTTAGGGAATCGAAGTCGTTTTTTCAACGCCTTCACATGTGTTACAATAATGTTATTCCTTGCTCTCTCTCTCTCTCTCTCTCTCTCTCTCTCTCTCTCTCTTCAAGCCCTCATTTTGAATCTGGGAAACCTTCAGTCTCAGAGAAACTAATCCCTCAAATCTCTCACTCACCCGATCGCTGGCTCTCTCTCTAAACCCTTCACTCTCAAATATTACGATTCAACCTCAGAGTGATTTCGATTTCGAAGTTCTTTCTCTCTCTCTCGATTTGGAACCTCCACCGCCACCACCATCTGCATCATTGACTAAGGTGAGCACCATTGTCTACAATCTCAATTTCGTATTCTCTCTCTCTCTCTCTCTCTCTCTCTCAAGCTCTTCCTTCCGTCGATTCTTCTCCTAGGGTTTACATATGTTTAAGATTTCAAATCTGAGATTTCTCATTCAAAAATATATGTTTCAGATCTGAGATTTTTCATTCAAAAATATATATTTATGATTTGAAATTTCTCATTCAAAAATATTTGTTTGAGATTTGAAATTTCTCATTCAAAAATATTTGTTTGAGATTTGAAATTTCTCATTCAAAAATATTTGTTTGAGATTTGAAATTTCTCATTCAAAAATATTTGTTTGAGATTTGAAATTTCTCATTCAAAAATATTTGTTTGAGATTTGAAATTTCTCATTCGAAAGTGTATATTCTTTCCTCATTAAAAATTTTCATTCGAAACAATATCCTTTTAGATATGAGATTTTCATTCTAAAATACATGTTTCAGATCTGACAGTTTTTATTTGTTTGAGATCTGAAAACTCGCTGGGATTTTTTTTGGGTATAGTCTTCTTTTTTATTGTTGATTTTTTAGGGAATTTGATTACTCAATGTTTTGCATATATGAATGACATCCTTGATGAGGTCAGCTGCTATGTTCTGTGTGTTATCAATTCATGCCATATTCATTGAACAAGTGTAATAAATTATTGACAATCTATCCTTGAATGTTATGAGTTTACCTTCAAATAGTTTATGCCAATGGATTTGTTTTACTATTTTCAACTTATTTTAATAGCGAATTTGAGGTAGTTTCCTATTTGAATAGCAAAATAACAACATATTTTAAGGTAAACAATTAATATTTTCATGCTCCTGATGCTGCTAGTTGACTTGGTTTATCATGTATTTGCTAATGTTCAATGATCCACTAATCTAGTTATAGTTGGTAGTCAAAATGCAAAGAGAAGAGGCTGAAAATGATTAGGCTTATTTTAATATACAAAATTGAAAACAGAGACAGAAAAATTGTAAGTTTTCAAAATTAACAGAAACCCTTAATTCAAAAATAAGAGTGTGTGAAGCTCTGTGCACTCTGTCACTCTCTGCGTGGCTGTGTGTGGTATGAGACAGACTTGATGGACGAGTGGATGAATAAGAGTCATATGTTATCTATATTCTTATTGCCATATTAGGACTTATGATCTCAAGCATATATAGCAGTTCAGTTGTTTTTCTACATCAGTCTTTAGTACAGAAGCACTTTCATATTTTCGTAACTTCTTGAATCCCTAAAAAATGATTGCTTGAATTTGCTCATACATGGCATTGTGGTGCTACTTCATCTGGCTATATTAACCCTTTTTTTTCTTTTTTTTTTTTTGTGAACATGGAACATACTCTACAATTTAATGAAATTTGTCAAAAACTCGTTCACTAATATGAACTCATTGACAAAAGGTCAAAAAAGAGATAGAACGGTGCTATGAGCTCATTCACAAGTTGGGAATGGGAGTCGTGTATTTAATTGGGGAAAGAGGCAAGTCACTCCATATTTAACCTTCCATGTATATACTTATTTATGTAGATGTATATGGAGTGTGGAACTGCAAGTGAACAACACAAGATACATCGTAGGGAAATTTTATGGTTGCTAAAAACAGGTTCATTACTGAAAGTTTACATTTTGGTATGGCATTTAAAGCTTACAAGTGGAATGTCACTAGTTTGGGAGAAAACTTGTGTGACTGAGCTTGTCTATTTGTGTGAATAAGTTTAGTTTTCAGTACATGTTTTTGCAGACATAGCACAATAGTGTATATTATATTCATATATTCTGGTACAATTGAAACTTAGGTACTCTGCTCTGCAAAATTTAGTTCTGATCTTTTTTTCTATTTGTACCATTTGGGAATTTTTTATTTTTTATTTTTTATTTGAGCTAGAGAATTAGCAATTCAAATTATTGTCATCAAAAGAAGTGTTTTTAGGGAAGCAAGGAAAACTTTGTGGATCAAAGACCTGCTAAGGTTTTTTGACCTTACAACTGATTGGTCCAACCTAAGAACATGAGCATGATCCAACGAAGAAGTTAATGGATAGTAGATTTCATCTAGTACATATATGATTCATTCAAATTATATTAATTGAGTTTTTAAATTGGGTAAATATTAGTCATTGTCTTATGATTTGGCTTTCATTCACTTCTTCATATTTGTATGCATCTAGGAGTTGGTCCTACCATTATGAAAACCTATGTCCTGGTTTGTGCCTTTTGTTCATTAATTCATCATCTAAGAACAGTGGGTTACGATATTTTGTGATTTTCATCTATTACTGTCAATAAGTTTATCATATTGGTGATTTGAGTGTTTTCCTTTCATATTGTTTTTCTTTTTCCAATGCTTTTTGGGTTAAATTGAATTTCTTTTGCCTCAGGCACCATGGCAATTGAGTACCTCGAGGACAACAAGACTCAGACGGAGATCATTGATATCCTTCACAACACCTATGCTCGGCTGATCCCTTTTGAGCAAAAGGTAGTAACTGACATAAATGCCATTGGATTTGAATAAACTTGTTTGTTCACCATAATCCCGAGCTTTAGGCATTGTCAAGTTTCTCATGCCTAATTTGTAAACACTAATAGGATTAATGAATTCCAATCATCAGCTGATCTCCAAGAAATACAATTATAAATTGTATCTTTCAATTTACAACTGCAAATTACCTTTGTGACTTTATTTTGTTCTTCAATGTGGATTTCATGTCTAAAACTCATTTCTATCTCTAGAACATTTTCTTTCTAGTTGAAGACGGTAAACTCATTTCTTTATTTTTAATTGTTTATGGATGTAATATTCATTTAAATTGCAAATATAAATACAGAAAAAATATAATTTTTTCCTTTATCTCCACCGTATCCATATCCTTCTATATGTGCCGTACACATCTTAAATACTATATCTAGTACCTTATTGTACGTATTCTCTTATTAGGAAATTTGTTACCCACATTCAATGTTATAAACTCATATTTAGAACTTGTCCTTATTAGGGCTCCTGAAGCGTGGTCCTTGTAGCTGATCTTGTGGTTTTTCCCTATCAGTCTCTTCTTTCAAAATCATCACGTGAATCACTTGGTGTGAATCTAAAGAATGATATCGTTATAATAGATGAGGCTTACAATCTAGCTGACTCTCTTGTCAGCATGTATGACTCAAGCTATACAAAGCATGCATTATTTGATCATGAAGTCTAAAGACAGAGCCAAGGAAGTCCCAAAACATGAACATTTCCAGTTCAAAGCATGTCAAGAGATGCTAGCAAGAAGGACTAAAGTAGCATGCAACTTTGCCTAGCAAACATGAGTTATATGGCAAGTATAGGATGCACATGGAATCTTACCAAATCAGAAAAAATCAGTGAATAAAACATGTGAAAATATGCCCAAATAACCATGGAGATGCAACCAATACATGCAAAAATGATGAGCTCCTTTAGAGGGCCATGCAATGGATTATTAAGAACATACAAGGTGGACACTTAGCATGGTATAAAAAACTATTAAAATCAAATACGGTAGTCTTAAAACTCACCAAATTGACCCTGGAAAGTGACCTCAAAGTATGCAAGATAGGGTCTCTTTGGAAGGCCAAAAATGGCCACCAAACAAGTCAATGTGAGAGGGGGTCACCCCCCTCTGATTTGGAGGCTCAAAATAGTGTGCTAGCCACTGAAAATCCACTGGATTTCAGTGGCTATAAGGCCAAACCAAGCATGCAACAAGAGCTTAGGTGTAAGGCTCAAAACAAGGGACAATCAAGCATACAAGGAAGCATGTGACCTCACATAAAATAATTCCCTTAATCAAACATGAAGATGATGTCAAAACAAGCCTTTTTCCAGTTTATAACAAGTCTAAAAAATGAACATAAATAGGGCTAATCTATCATGCAAAAATGGCCCTAAAAGAGAGAATAGAGACAAGGGACAGCAGCTGGCCCCAAACAGTGAAGAGCCCTTCAACAAAGTTGAAGAGGGGCTCAAAATGAAGCACTTTACAGTTTACATTAAGTCTCGAAAATGAACAAAAGTGAAGCTAAATCAGCATGCAAGAAAAAGGCCTAAAAGAGGGATAAAGAGGCAAGTGGTAGCAGCTGACCTCAAACAGAGGAGAGCCCTTCAACAAAGTTGAATAGGGGCTCAAAAAAATACATTTCACAGTTTATGACTAAGTCCAAAACAGCTCACAAATAAGCCTAAAATATCATGCAAAAATAGGCCTAAAAGAGAGTTTAAACACAAAGGGGGAGGAGAAGACCTCAAACAGCAAAAAGTCCTTGATCAAACATGAAGAGGAGCTCATAATATGACTCTTTACAGTTTAGGTCAGGGCCCAAAAATGTAAGCAACAAAAGCTAAGATAGCATGCAAAATAGGGCAAGAAAAGAGGAAATAGGGACTCACCCTTGTAGCACAGGTTTCCAGCAGCTTTTGGTCCAAGAAAGGGAGCTCCTATCCTCTGAAAAACAGCCTCAAGTTGCTGGAATGGAGTGTGGAGGTTGTAGGCTTGGAGGTGGTGTGTAAAGGTCAAGAACAATGGGTGTTTGGGAGCTTGAAAAATGGAGAGCAATGGAGGAGGGAAGGGTGTATGCTCTAGCTGGTTTTCTAACCCTTAGAAATGAAGCTCTAGTGTTGGTTTTATAGAGGGAGAGAGGCCAAGGAAAAAGGGGGGAAAATCAAATTCAAGTTTCCTCTCCAAAAGGCAACCCCTCGGATACAGGAACTGGGGGGTAACAGTTGGCACAGTTGGAATATACTTGGAGAGAGGATCATGGCCGGCCAAGTTCAAAAGGTTCAGGTGGCCGGCCGGCCAGGAGTCAAAAGGGTCAATGCAAATTGCTGGCCGGCCACCCCAAAAAGGTGGCCTCCCATGTGTGCACAACACAAATATGTGGTCAAAACCCAGAAAATGTGAACCAGAAGAGAGAAAAACCCACTTTTTAGAGGGGTTCAAAAGGGTCAGAGACAATTACTAGCCGGCCTATACATATTGGTGGCCTCCCAGGTGTGTACAACACAAATATGGGGTTTAAGGCTAAAGAAAGTGGCCCCGGGGTGGTCAACATTAGCTTTCTAGTGAGGAAAACGGGCGACGGAGAGCGATGAAGAAATAAAGCTGGC